TCTTAAAAAAACTAATTGATCCACTGAAAACATTAAAAAATATCGATTGAGCAAGTAAATGTGTGAAAAGTTTTTGCCGACAATTTTCTTGACCTTAAAAATCTAGATCCAACTGAATCACCTTAGATATCTTCACAATTAGCTTTTTCGCCTTTCACCTCCTCTCTAAAAAAAATGTGTTCTCAAAATATTATTCCTTGCGCGTCTCAGCAGAGCTGTTCATTCTAACTTTCAAATTGAACCTTATCTAGTAGGGCATAAACTTGAACATTGGACACAGGGGCGGCGGAACGTTTTGAATCTAGGGTAGGCTCAATATTTTTTATAGGAGCCTTACCAACAGGTTAAAAATAGAGAGGGTAATTTTTATGCTATGCCATTCAAATAAAACACAATTAGTACTGTTTATTTCGAACTCAAATTTTTTAATGCATAACATTAGTGCAGATCAGTGATGAGTTTGCAAATTGTGGCAAAAATTTGTATTCAAAGAGTCACTTAAACTTTTGTTTTTGATTGAATAGTGACCTTCAAATATGATCTATCGGATGCAAAATTTTTGGATCCGAAGCCAGGTTGGTAATCCACGTACTCTCAATGCAATTTTTTAACTCCCAATCTGATAATTATTTGAAAGATACTACATTTTTTTCGATTAATTTTTCGGTGATCAGCATATCCTACACATTTTCCAAACAATTTTAACGGTAATCTCGTAATAACCAAGTTATAAGTGGCTCTTACGTGCAGCTAGAGTCCGTCAGGTCTGAATTCGAGGACTTGTACCTGGGTCCAGATCTGACTCTGGTCAACAAACAAATTTCAGATCCAAGCTCGAAGTCGATTAGATTTTGAACCTATCTGATGAGCTGCAGCTTGCAAAGAGTTTTTGATTTGTATTACTGGAAACTAGGATTATGACGACGTAGCAGTGCTCACAGAAAAGGAATCTCATTGTGAGGTTGTTCAGCGTGTTGAAAATATTTGATTGGCATCTGAGATTAACTGCAGAGAGAGGAGAGAATTTTGGACATCGTCCAGCAGATATGATTGTAAGTATCCTGTAAGGTTATTCTTCATTTGTAACAAAAAAGCATAAAAAGAACTCATTGCCAATGTACGTTGAATACTTAGTCATACGAAATTTAGGTTTTTTTCCTAAAAATATTAGCAGTTACTGGTGACGACAGCAAAAATTTTCAAGCAGTAGACAAGTTTGTTAATCTGATAGAGTGAGAAGCAAATGTTTGAGCCTCTTTTAGCCTATGAAACTTAAATCTTGATGAGCTTTCGCCTACTCGGGCCTAATGGCTCCGCCGCCTATGACTGACACTGACTCTGTAACAATGTGTTATCTGCCAGAAAAACTTGAAAACTAAACAATAATAGAAACACTTTACATTTAATAGAGCCTACCAAAGCCTTAATCTGTCCAAGTTTGAGGCAAACTTTAGTATAGTCCTCCACTAAACTTGAAATTCATGTCCTGCTCTCCACATTCTTTCCTTTCTTCAGCCTCATGACAAAAATTCAAAGGGTGAGAGTGTAGGATGAGGTTTTGCCATGAGATCAAAGAACGATAAGGATGTGGAGAGCAGGACATGGATTTCAGGTTTAGTGGGGAGTATGCTAAAGTTTGCCCCAAGTTTGAGCCTACTCAAGCCTACCCTCCGCCAGCCTAGGGTAGACTTGAGCCTACCCAGGCCTAATGGCTTCGCCGCCTATGGAAGAGTACTGTTCTTTAATTACTAGAAATTCAAAAGTTATTTTGAATAGAATTTTAGAACAAAAGGTAAATTATCTTATATTGAAAATAAAGAATTCGATGCAGATATAGACGTCAACGAAATCAATCAGTATGCCACTGGGCACGAGTTTGTAATACATAAAATGTGGACTGACCTTGTAATAATGCGTCATCTGTCAGAAGAACATGAAAATTAACTAATATTAGAAAATTTTTACATTAAATCGAGCCTAGTCAAGCCTTTATCTGTACTGGTTCGAGCCTACCCAAGCCTTTATCTGAGCCTACCCAGGCCTTTGCCTGAGCCTACCCAAGCCTACCCTCCTCCAATCTAGGGTAGGCTCGTGCCTACCCAGGCCTCGTGGCTCCGCCGCCTATGATTGGACATCACCTTTAATGTTTCGAAGTTTCAAATTTGTGACAATATAAGACTTACTCGTCTCGCTCACGCCATCGACTTGCTACTGAAGAACGATATGTAGTATTGGAGTATTGCTGAAAGAAAGATTGTCGATTACTACAAAAATTAGATGAAAGAAGTTACTCTAGTATATTAAGATCGAGCAGCATACTTATAAATTGAATATCTATTTGTTGATGATTTTATTGTCGGCTTGTCATTAAGACGAAGGCGCCTGTAAAAAAATACAGTTAAACAAAGTAGTGTACTTCTTTCGAAAACTTACACTTCCTGTAAATTCGCACTTAAATTCTGCTTGCTATCTGTTTTTATGTTCGAGTGAGATTCGTTCGGAACGAAGGATTTCGGCATCTCCTGATTTTTGGGTTGAAAGCTTATGCGCATTTTGACAATAACACGATATGAATGAAATTTAAATGAAGAAGCGCTTATCTATAATACTTCTATTTTAATACATTCTGAAGACCTCTATTCTCTGACGACCTTTTACTCAAGGTAACCGACTATTTTATCTTTGTAACGTAATATCGACATTGATGCAACTGATATGCGCATTTTGACAGTAACACGATATGAATGAAATTTAAATGAAGAAGCGCTTATCTATTATGCTTCTATTTTAATACATGCTGAAGACTTCTATTCTCTGGCGACCTTTTCTGAAGGTAACCGACTATTTTATCTTTGTAATGTAATATCGACATTGATGCAACTGATATGCGCATGTGACGGTAGTCGTCATAAGAGGAGAGACGTACGCTTACTTTGCTTGCTGTCTTATCTAGAGAGACAAACAACTACTTCTCATAGGACACAAATTTGCTGAAAAATGATTGAGTATTTCAACGAGAAGTCTACCATCACTACAACGACCTTCTTTAATGAAAATATCAGTTATGATCATTTCTCAAGAAACTTTGACACGATAAGCTACGATTATGAGTTGGTAGGATCATCTAATATTTTAATTGGAATTTTATTTCTACCCCTGCCTTTCCGTTTTCAAGACATTGTCCAGTTTTTTCACGAACGTATTGAGAATTTTTCAAAATTGTAATTAGATATTGTTCTGAAATAAAGATATCAGATCTTATAAGAATTAAGTGGTAATCTTAGTCAAGTTCTTCAAAGAAACAATAAGACGAGTCTCGTCAATACTTTATCTGGTTCTAATTAATATTAAGCTCAGAACATTATTGGACGACTTCTACCCAGAATCGAAGGGGTCTCATTAAAGGATCTTGTCATAATACAAGAAAAGTTTCTTAACAACGATATCTTATTGGAGTTATGTAATCACAAAAAAAGTTTATTTAGTAAACATCATAGGTACATCAATAGAAAGTAAAGTCGCGTCATAGGCACGCATCGGACTCAGATCTGAAGGTTCGGATCTAGTCGTGGCTGCGATTGTTTCTAGTTAATTGATAAAAAGAAGAATAAGTAAGCCGATAGAAAAGATTTAATGGTTGGTCATGGCAAATCTTCATACAGTGAAATAAATGATCTAAAAATTGAAGAACTACAGGCATTTTCAACGAAAGTCAACGATGTTCAGAAATATTCTTAGTACGAACTTAACTAAACTTTATGTTGTTTCCACAATTGCTCATATCGCTTAAAAGAAGTTTGATGCATGTCTGATCTGAAAGTTTCTATCTTTACTTCGTTATAGTCTTAATATAAAAGTAATTATACGTTTCACACTTTGATTAATTATGCTTTGAAACAGCTTACTAATTCAATTACATAACTATGATATTAAATATTATATTTATTCAGAAGAAAAACATAGCAGAAACACAAGACAAAAAGTTGATTTTTGTATGATTAAAATATATGTGTTAAACATTAGAGATATAATATTCACAAAAATTTTATTTATTTATTATTGGAATCCAACAGACTTTGTTGAACTAAGATGATCTAAGAATCTATCAACATGATATGGTTGTCCACTTTCGAATGTTGGTGTGGTTATTGGATGTCTATTTTGATAAACATGTGTTGGCCCCGAAGAACACTATTGGAAAGTATTATTTGAATTTCACCTGATTTGTCATAGCCATAATGCACAATATGTGGTTCTTTTCTCTTGGTACATCTCCATGATTCACAGATATTCTTGTATTTTCCTGGGAATTTGTATTGGCAAATGACTCATTTTATGATAAACGAATAAAAGAACAGAAAAAAGAATATTGACATAACTATGTCATACTATAACAACATGATTTGCTTACGAAAGTTTCTTCCTATCATTATAATATGGAATAATCCAAAGCTATACTTTTGTTTTTATCTCAGATTTCATTAGTTAGAAAACGACGCTATTGTAGGCACAATCGTTATTTATGATATTTGTATTGAAAAAGGAACACTAACTAAAAACTTTTCGCCAGTCGAAATAAGTAAGTAATTGTTTTACTTGCATCTGTATGGAGATTAATTATTCAGTTTACGATATAAGGATTCAGTCAGGAAAGTATGACATCATGTGGCTTTTTTTATTTTTCTATATTGTAAAAATATTTTTCCATAATTGATTTTTTTTGTGAAAGGAATGTTAGTGTTTATGCCAGTTCGAGAAGATTTTATTACTAAATCGTAAAAGCAGCATTTGTTTGACAAAGTTTGATATAAAATACTGTCTTTCTCGTTTCTTCATATTCTACTTGTGAAAAAAACGATGCAAGTGCTTTTCAGAAATGTATTATTCATAGCAGAGAACATATTAGTTATTGTATGATACCGTCTACTTAGCATTGGATTGAAAAATTGCCATCATTTTAGAGCAACAATAAACAAAACTTGCAATTCTCATACAATATCATGGCTATGGCTATTGTATCACAGTTGATAGAATTAATCAAGAAATCATCTGATGATAAAAATGTCGATATATATTTGTTATTTAAAGCAATCGGTCGAGACTATTATATCGATTCCGTACGAATCAGCCATTGGCAAGTAGTTTGTCATTTTAAAGATACGAATCGATACAAATGTTACGAATTACAAACCGATAATGGTGATAAAGGAGGTCGTATTATTTATCGAATTTCCAATTTCAATTTTGATGGTGTTATCTATTACTATTATATTGGTCAATGCAATACAAATGAAGCAGATTTAGAACAAAAGTGTAAGACGATTAATATCAACAATCAACACTATGCACTAGGTTTTAGAGATTGTCAAACATGGGCTAGATTATTAATTGAAAGTTTAGAATTGTCTCTTAAAGGCGCAGGACCATTTTTAATGAAATATTTTCCTGTTTCAAATATTGAATGGAATGTAGATCCTGATTGCACAATATCCGCAAGGGTTATTGATTTCATTGTTGAACAAGACCCTACATTAAAATCTTGGTTATCACAAGTAAAACATTGTCGTGGATATAGAAACTTGAGTTGAAAGAAATCAATATCATCAACAGTACTCTTAATTTACAAGTAAATTTCTTTCTGACTTGTAACTTCAATGTCTTATTTCTTTGCTTGTCATACATAAAATTCATGTGTTGTATATATACCAAACATTTTGACAATCATTGAAGTATGTACCGTGTGTTGGCTGCCGACTCACTTCACGATCTAGATCACAAACCAAAATAGGATGTAGGTGTTGATGACTTAATTCGAAATTTCAAGTATTTTATACTACTAACTTGAAGGTGAGGATAGAAAGAAGATCTTCACTTTCATATACTATCCTTAAGATAAACTTAATTCTTAAGGATCAGTTCAAAAGCAAACTAAGTCGGCATTTTTATTTGTGAAATAAATGATTAAGAAAAACTGACAGGCTACAGCCATGCTCAAAGAAAGTCAACAATATTCAGATATAATCAGTTACAAACTCGACCGAGCGTTATGATGTTTCAACAATTGCTCATATCACTAAGGCATACTTTCGTGATCATCTAAATACTTTGTACTGTCAGAATTATAATTAGAGTTCGAGTTCGTTGTATGTCTATTCCGAAAGTTTCTATCTCTACCTCTTTATAGTTTTAATATACGAATAATTATACATTTCATAAATTGATAACTGTTTCAATTACATAATCATGGTAGTAAATATATTATATTTATTCAGAAGGAAAACATTGCAGAGACACAATACAAAAAGCTGATTATTGTAGAATTAAAATATATACGTATATGCGTTAAACGTTAGAGATATAATATTCACAAAATGTTTTCTTTTTTTTTAATGTCTTATTATTATGACTTGACATGTTTTATTGGATTAAGATGATCTGTTGAACTATAAATTTAATGTGAATGTCCACTTCCAGGTGCACCTGGTGTTTTTGTTTTTTGATTTAAATTTTGAATTGGTGTTTGACGATCCAGATTAGTTTCTTCAAGTTCATCACGAATCATTTTTTCTAAACGTTCATGTTTCATTTCTTTACTCAATTTATCATCCTTAAACAAAAAAAAAAAAGAAAGAATCTCTTATTATTTTTCATATTATTTTTTATTTTTAAATTTACTTCGGAAATACTATTAAGAATTCTTGTTAATGCTTCACGTCGTTTCATTTTTCCTTTTTCTAATAATTCTAATTTTGTTAAAACATTATCAATCTAAATATTAAAATAAAATTTTTTTTTTTTTTCAAAAAAAAATAATCCTTACTCTTGAAACAATACTTCCAATTGAATAT